CCTTCATGTAAACAGGCCCAAAATCAGCTTTCTGTCTCATAGTTACGATTAATGTTCTCTATGACACTAAAAGACTACAAGGAAAAAATGGACTTTAAAAATATGCGTAGGCAATTCACACAATTGCGCATTGCATGAGTCTATTCTTTAAGTAATCCAAGAGGTCAGGAAATTTTATGGGTATATCATTTTGAATCGATAGAAAATTAATGATTCACTGTTACTCACCGTCATCCAATAAACTAACAGGTTTAGCATTCGACGAAAGAAAATTCGTACTTACAACAAGCAGAAGATAAAGCGGCGAAGAGGCCATGTTTTGCATGACAACAGAAGAGCAGATTATCGCAGCGCAGTATATTAAACGTCCGTGCGTCCAATAACTTCTCAAATGTCATGGGAAAAGGGCCTAACGATCGACAAGGCTGTTAGAAGAGATACAGCTGCTAAGATGTCGTTGATTTTCAACATTAGGGAGCTCAAGCAACTACGACAACGAGCACAACGACGACTTCAAAAAAACAATCGGTTTAATTAATGATCAAAACAACAGCTCTGCACGTGCATCACGCTTTTTAATACATTTCTTTGACGTCAACTGCACGACTACGACGTGAAACCTCCTAATTTGCCGTTTTATGGAAAACGTGAACATACGACGACGAATTTTCCTTCCTCTTTTTGAACTTGAATAAAATCCTTAAGAATTCAACTCCGTGAGAAGTCGCCTGCATTTGACATTTTGAGCGGGTCCAAATAGACGCGAGTAAGTTTGAAAGATCATTTTTTTAGCGACGTTTTCACTGCCGTCGTCGTCGTCCTTGCTTAAGGTTCCTATTTTTTTTTGTCTCAATTTGTCCCGAAAATTGTTACATCGACGGCTATTGAAACTCGGAGTATTCAATCGATAAAAATCGGTAAATCTGATTTGATTTATTTCGATTGTATCGATCAAACGGTAGAAATCGATGACACACTCGTTTCGTTAATCCATTTATCTTGATTTTTACCGATTTCATCGATTTATATCGGAAGATATATCTGTTCATCTGTTCATCCAAAAATGAAAACTGATTTCATGCAAGCAGTAAATTTGTTGACAATTGAGTTGCAATTGATAGTCGAAGGATCAAACAATTATCACTTTTTAAAAAAGTCTTTTTAAAAATTCTTAAAAATCTTATCTTTTCTTCAAAACCAGGTTTAAAATATTCCTCTGGTTTGTAAGCGCCCAGTTTTTCACCATTTAGACCTGCCGCCCTTTCAAAATAACGTCGGTGTAGTTCCGGATGTAGTTACATCCTGGAGTAGCCAATAGACAAAAATCGAGATCAATAAAAATCGTTAGCAATCAAGTGATCTTTATCGATTGATAACAGAAACGGTGAGAATCTATAGAGGGAAATCTATGAATGAATTTCAGACATCCCTTCGACTCGAGGGTATGTCTGAGATTCAGGTTGGGAAATCTTTACTAAGGTTGCATTTCTAGTGATACTTGCCTGCGAGAACTGAATGTAATTATAAAACCGAACCGTTTTTGTTAAGTTGTTACGTACAAAACGAAGAGTTTTAGATAGACGCTTGTGTGTGTAATAGGTTCCACATTTCTCATTTTCATGTTTGTTGATCAGTTGTTACTCGTGGATGTGTCTTCCCAGCTGTATTATCTTCAAAAAAAACAATGGCGGACTTCCGTTGTAAATCGTTAAAATCATGCAATGTTTCACAGTGTCAGTTTAACTTGCCCTTGTCACCAATCTCCGTTTGTTGTTATGCTGTGTCTTTATCAAATATGCTTTTGTTTTTACTACGTGAAGGTAAATAAAACACAAGTTATTTTATTTTTTTATTTTATTAGCTTCGCCAACATAATATAAATACATTCAGGTAATCAAACAACGTAACAAAGAAAAAGTGGCAGGGATTCCGCAACAGTGTGAGCCAGTTTCTGTGGGCCCAGAAAATTAAAAAATATAAGAATAGCTAAAATACATAATCACAAATTTAAAAGCAACACGAGACAGGCTGGGCAAGACTACGACACTTAAGACTTTTATTTAAGTGCGGGGATTTTCACAGTCAATTAAGAATAAAAAATCAAAAAATGCTAGAAAACTGGTTGAATAGTGTTTTGCATCAATAGCATTTTCTGCATAATTTATGAATTAAAAAAGTCACCAGTTCTTAAATGACATTCAATAAGCATTCTTTACAACAATTCGTGTTTAATTTACAAGGTAATGCTAAAATACCGTAGTCATTTTTCAAGTGACGATAGCGCCATGGGGTACTGTAACACTACTAAAATCCATTTCGTACTTCCATTCATATTTGAGTTTAATCATCCCAGCGAGGTTTGAAAAAGAAAGTCCTAATTTTCACAAGAAAGCAAAACCGTGAAAGATTCTGGTAGCAGTAGTAAAGGGGCGGGGGACGAGACAGGGTGGTCACAACCTCCCGCCTTCCGTACCCTTGTGTCCTTTTGTCTCCCGACTCCCTCCCTTCAGCGAGAGAGACGAGAAACTTACCGGTATATTACACGACTGACACAGTCGACACACGTGTACATGTGTTATGCCATCTCATTCATGACCTATGATGTGAGCGACTTGGAAAGGTTTCGAGTTTGACCGGAAGTAATGCCGTTTTTTTTTTATCCCGATTAAGAATTTTCGATTTTTGAATTTTCTCGAATATAAAATATTGCTTTAAGCTTCGGAGAACGTTAAATAGAAGACCGGAAGTAATGCCGTTTTTTTTTATCCCGATTAAGAATTTTCGATTTTTGAATTTTCTCGAATATAAAATATTGCTTTAAGCTTCGGAGAACGTTAAATAGACGTCTTTGGGTTCGTTTCTTTGACTGGATGATAAGCAATAACAAATAACGAAAGCTTGCCTTTTTGAATTTCTTCCCCGCTCCCCGCCGTCGTAGAGATCCCCCTTCCCGCCCTTTCTTCTCCCGGGTTCCTTCGAGGCCGTCTTAAAGATAATGACCGAGCCCGTAGCGCGGACCGAGCGGGTAGATTTAATGCACCTTTTCATTGTTTTAGAACCAGCAGAACATTGTTGTGGTCACTAAAATGGAACGGTAGGCTGTTTTTCGTAGTAATGACCACCTGTTCCACCTAAATGACCTGCTTTTCCTTTTTCTGAAAATCATGCCCCGCTCAAAACAACGGAAGGTGCATTAAAATGTCTTGAGGGGATCATCTACATACTCGGTGTCAAAACTATGAATCAACTTACTAAATCCATTTTCTTGTGCCTATACGGCTGGCTAAACGGCATTTTTATACTTTTTACTGACTAGGTAAGTACACCAGTGATGTTTTTCTTTTCCGTAAAATAGCATAATAAAATAAATTGAAAACAATAACAACAATCATCTTATCTAATTCCAAAGTCATTGACCGCGATGGCAAAGTACTTGACAGGACCTTCAACAAAGGTGTGGCATTTGGGCGGTACACCTCTACCCAAACGTTCCTCGAGTGCCCCCCCGCGCCTCTACCCAAACGTTCCTCGAGTGCCCCCCCCCGCGCCCTCTCCCCACCCCGGGAGTTGACGTACCTCTCGTAAGTGACCTCCCAATCTGCGAAAACAATTGAGCGCTTGCTTACAGAAGGTGAATGCTTACGAGAATGGAACTATAGAGGTTCTTTCGAAGACGAGGACCTGACACATCTACTTTTTGAAAGAGAATTCATTGGATTGCAATTGTAAAGTTACGGTACAGCTCCTTGTGGTCGCTAAAAGATCTTCGCAAAGTAGTTCTTACAGTAAGTATAGAGATCGAGCTTAAGTGGGAAATCTATTTTAAAACCGTAACACCCAAAGTGGTCACGGTCGCTTTCGATCAATAGGTGGTTTTTTAACTGTAGTGATCTGACCAAAAGACATGCAGTAGTCCAGGTGAATAAAAACGGGCTATCCGTTCCTCTAAAATAGAAAAAACAACGTCACTTAGGGTAACCTCAGAGAGAGACCGAAGAGAAGTGGACATGTCAAAGGTCCATAACTCTGTGTCGTCATTTTTTAAAAGTACTACACCATCCCTTGTTGGAAAGATGGAAACAGAGCCAGGGAGTTCTATCGTGTTCAATTCCTCGCGGTTTGATATTCTCAAAGCAGTAACCAATGTTACCTTTCTACTTGAGTCCGAGGAAACTTTAACAAACTCTGAAGTAGTGGAATAAATAGTATCTTCTTTAAGAGAACAGGCAATCTCTTTGACCTCTCTACCGTTTCTCGAATCAACAAGCCCTTAAAATTTCGAAAAGACCCAAGTTCCTCTAAGGTGACCGAACAGATACAAATTTTATAGCGCCACTTAAAATGAATTTCTACAGCTCTAAAAGTACTTTGGATAGCCTAAAAAGTGTTTTCAATGTATTAAAGAGGAAACTGTCGTTGGGTGCATTCTCCTGATATGTGCGCTATTGGCCCCGGTTCCTGGTGTATGTATACGTTTTGCTACCTTTTACAGCTTTTAGTCAAACAATAAAGATAAAGCAAGGCTCTGAAGTGCTTTCTGCTACTTTGAAAGTCCCAATTTTTACAAGGATCATTACTAAACTCTTCACATAATTCTTATGTTAATCGTACACTAACTTTAAGAACAAGCTTCTTACACCCCGCTGTTAGCTCGTTACCTTTATATTTAGTTTTGTGTTTGTAATTTGGTTCAGGGAGAGAAATGACTCCCATTGTATTGGGTTTTTAAGAGCGAATAAAGTTACTTTTGTTTTAACTTTTGGGAAAATACCGCAGAGCTAATTCGAAACATCCGAACTCTACTACACGTATTGTTCACCGAAATCACTACATAAAATAGAAGTAAAATAAAAGTACAGACGATCTGATTGATCACAGAAGAAAAACAAAGAGAGCTGTACATTCTGTAAATGATTCCCAAAACAAAACCGCCTCTAGTCTTACAAGTCCTTTGTCTCTTTTCATCTTACAGAACTGCTCAAAATGAACACCAAGAGAACTCAAGAATCCATATCTGAAATGAGTTTATGGCAAGCTTGTAAGTGATCAAAATTGATGTGACCCCAGTCCCCTGAGGAATTGTCAACCAAACGCAACTGGGCATTTTTACCAGCGTAATCTGTTACATTCCAGCTTTCCTCTTTCATAGCTTCATCACAAGCCTTTGTCGTCTTATTGCGAACCACTTCCCCACCAATAATAAGCTCGGCACGAAGGTTTGGAAAACTCTTGTCGCAGCCTGATCCAATCAGGAAGGTAAGCAACTTTCCAGTAATCTGAAAACTGGGTGACGTCATTGAGCCTTGAGGACCATCACCTTGCTGTCCCCCAAACGGTTCAGAGGGACTGGACCGATTCTCGTAGGTACCAATCCACCAATCCCCTTTGTAGTTGCTTCCATACTCAAACCCCCTTGCTAATGTGTTATTCCCGTATGTTGGCTGATTATTGAATGCTGTACCATTCAAAGTCCAATTTGACAAATCGTGGTCTTCGAAGTCAAATATTGTGTAACACTCTAGTTTGAGAACAAAAGATATTTAAGATCAGAGAGTGAGATGACTGTGACAGTGAGATAATCAATTTGTTCGTGTTAAAAGAGAAGCCATAGGAGACAATTTAATAGCGAAATTTTCATAAGCATAATTATTATTAAGATCGAGAAGAATTAAATCAGAAGAGCAGCCAAACCAGTTTTTACCTCGTCAGAAAAATATCAGACTGATCAACATTTCTGCTAGCGATGAGACACTATGTTGCCAGAGGCAGTTGTTAAAGAGTTTTCCTTAACTCCCCTAAAAAACAAACCAGTCCTTTCTCATATGATGTTTTGTTTAAAAGTTTACGATTTACGTGATTAACGATCATAACTGTCAAAGCAGCCAATGCCTCAGACTTTAGAAGATTCGTTGGTGTTCAGTGCAGTGGGTTTTTTTTACAAAAGCTAAAGAAGAAAAATTCTCCATCTAGCGCATCAGTTATTGTTAACACTTTATTGCATGGCCGTTTTTTTTTTCTTTACCAGGAACTATTGGCAACCTCAAACCGGTAAACATCATCATACTTCAGGCTGTTTTTCTGATGGTGATCAGAAAATCAGTGATGTCTTTTACCCTCGCTTGCAACTGCTTTCAGTCTTGGGAAGTTTGCTCTAACAGTGGTATACCTGTGCAGATGTATCCGTCTCCATAGTAACCAATATTGCAGGTGCATCTGAAAGATCCTTCAGTGTTCGTGCAAGCTGCGTTCTTTCCACATCTCAGTTCTTCTTGACATTCGTTGATATCTAGAATAGTGTTGTAATAGTGTGAATTAACTACTTACATCTCACTTGCGTTTATATTCTTTATAAAGCGGAAGACAGTGAATAAGCCACCCTTTATTTTAAGTCTTCTCTCCCTATATACTGTATACTAGCATAATATTTCTGCGACAAGCTCCCCTTTTCGTCTTCTTGGCCAGAGAAATAATACCTCGCTTATAACTGAGCTTTCCACTTCCATCAGCACGCTGGATTTAAAATCCACTCTTCTACCTTTTCTTCTGGATACTGGCTCTTTAATTAATTAATTAATTAATTATTATTATTATTGTTGTTGCTCCTTGTAGTCTGTTAGAAACTGGCCCATTCCTTGGTCCTGAGTTGCTAGAGGGATATTTTACTGGATGGACAGAAATCTTCTTAGTATACGTGCCGCTCCTAAGAGGATGATCTTTTGCAGTTTATTGATGGTTAGATCTTTTCTGAACTGTTTACAACAACTAAGGACCCAAGTAAACACTGAGATACCTGTGCAGTTGTATCCATCTCCATAGAATCCAGTCTTGCAGTTGCATCTGTAAGATCCCTTTGTGTTTGTACAATCTGCGTTCTGGCTACACTCGTGACTGTTTTCATCACATTCGTTAATATCTAGGTGAAGATAGTTATTATAAGACTCATTCAGTTACTTTGCAAAGAAAACGATGACTGGACAGTGGAACTGTCTCGTTTACACGACAGGTTGACAGTCCACCGAAAATTAACTCAACTTCAAATTATTACTCAGATCGAGAATTTTAGGCTAAACGAAGGTGAAAGTAAAGAGAAACGTGCCGCAAATCCTGAATCCACTCCAAAGTGAAAGGAAAACTCTTTCATCAATGCACAAGCTCCTGAAAATGCTGCTTCCGTCTGGAAGGTCCTGCGCTTGATGCGCTTGTGATGGTTTTGTCGACAATGGCAGGGCTAATATTACAGTGGATTATATACTTTTTTTTCAAATTAATGTTCTCACATGTGGTTTCTTCCTTTTAAGTGCGGTACAGCTTGCGTGGTTTCATAACTACTGCGTTCATGTATTCCATTTTTCAGACCTACCCATTTGGCATTTTGCACCTGTCCAGCCTCGACACAAGCAGTGATATCCTTTCTTGGTAAATCCTGATTGACAAGTCCCGTTATTTTTGCATGGAGAACTACCACAAGGATTCTGGGGAATATATTATGGAAAAGAGATATTGTTTTATGCTTCTGAGCCTTTTCGAAACCTTTGCTAGAGGTGTCCGCCTTATCATGATTCAAGGAAAATGAGTAAAGATTGACAGTCCGAGCCCAACTCTAAGCGTCGGGTTTAGGGATTAGCCCGTCTTACATACATAAGGAGGCGTTGTTGTAAGGTGTTTAACAAGTTAAATTAAATTGTTCATGTTATTTAAGTAGCAAAAAACTCTTTCTTTTGGGAGGCACTTGCAGTTTAAGAGGTAATTACAAGAATTTTCGATCTTAAAATAATAATAAAGTGAAATTTCTCAAAAACGGCTACAGTTGAAACAAAACCGTCTAGGGAGAAAAACTTGCGTTTCAGAGAGTAAATGAGAATGGCTGGCGAAAGGAAGAGACCTAGTGTAGGTGTCAGATTTAGTCGGGGGGGAGGGTTCAAAAGAAAGATGGTTTGCGTTTACTCCATTGCGATAAACCTGAATTTTCAATGACATCCAATATGACGGCCAACTCGGCTGCCATCATAAATGACGTACCCGGCCCTCAGCGCGTCAAATTCCATAATATTCACATGATCCCGTGCAGTTATCACAAACAGAAACTATCTCCTTAATTTTTGATCTTTGCAAAATATTGTAACACAGTCAAGCCCAAAGGGTGAGCTCCATATGGTATTAATAGGCTCGGAGACTGGATAACGTTAAAATTTAATGATCTTACGTTTGTTCCGCGGTAAAGGAAATTTGGTGCCTCCACAAAGTCTTCATCGTGTTCTCCGTGTGTAGAATTGTTCAATTCACAGCTGTATTTTCCATTTCCAACCATTTTGTTTTCAAAATTAACGCTGACACAATTGTGCTCGTAGTAACACCTCAACTCACACTCATCCAGATCGCGAACTTTTAAAGTTTTTATGGTGTGGTTCATCAGGCGCTTGTCGGCAAAGAAAAGAAAACTTGGGAACGCCAATTCGCGACAAGGACCTTAAGGAAAAAAATAGCAGAACTATATTTCTAATACTTGTAATAGAGTTCATTGGGGTTTCTTATTCAAATTTCAATAAGGATTCCGCATATTGTTCAGCGGTTAGCATTCTCTCTTCAACGGTCACTTAAGATCAATTTTGGAAATGTATTTTGAATAGCATACGAAACGTCAAGTTTATAAAAAATGCGAAAACTCACAATGTTTATCACCGCTGTTTGTGTTTTATTTTTGATCAAACTACGATGGCCCAACAACAACAGTCTCTAGTTAAGCTCCGCAGAATGTTAAAATTCTGACGCTGAAATGAAAAACTCCCACCTCAGCCTGTGTACAGACCCCAGCCCCCCTCCCGTCAGGAATAATCGGAGAAGAGGGGTCTGTGATTCACCGTTGCTAATCGTGTATGGAGGCCACGTGATTTTTCCCGGAATGTGTGGAAAATAATTTGATTAGCTGTTACCTGTAGACAAGAGAGAATGATCTATCACTGCATCATGTAAATGAGGGATTTTGATAGGTTTTAGGGCCTGTCGTCAATACATAGCAGGGAATCTGAAAATCATCACATTGACAACTACACTCATTTTTCCTGAGGGGAGGGGGGTATGTACACAGGCTACTCCCACTTCTCCACCCTAAACAATCACTACCCCACCCTTTCCCCCCCCCCCATCCATCCCTCTCCACCTGTAACAGCCTATCGATGAAAATTGTGACTATTTTTGTTCATCATATTTTGCCTCTGTCAAGTACGATATCAAGCCTGTTCCTGATAACCTAAAGCTATATTATGTAAAATTAGTATATAACTATGTGAAACGTCTTACCATCTATAATTAATGCGATAACATCAGCGTAAATAATTCAGAAATTGTCAGCGTAAATAATTCAAACACAGTCTAAATCTGAATGCCATGAATCTAGGTAAATATTGCATTGTTGGAGGTCAACTTCCCTTCATTAAAAAATTCACAGGACGTGACAGTCAAGACTTAACACTCTCCACCATGTAGTCGCATTTGACTTGTTTCCAAATAAGTCCAGCTGAGTCTCCAGTTGGTGGTGATACTCAAAGTAAAACACAAGACCTTAGATATCTAGCTGTTAGCTGCTGCAGGGTCTAACCTTCTAAACGCAGCATTGGTTAATTAACTAAGCGTCTTAAGTCCCGTATAATACTTAATGTCAAGCGACTTTTAAACACTCAGATATGTCAAAATGTTTTTAAAAAAGCATATAGTATAAAATTTATGGAAAAACAACTGACTTGGAAACAAAACATTACGTGAACTCTTTTCAGTAAGTAACAGACCAGTTACTTAAACGTTTAAGAATACTTTTCCGTAAGTTTCTGTCAAAGAGCTTGCATTTTAGTAACTTAGAGGGCTGAGCTCACTACGAAAAAGAATATATCAAATCGAAAAAAACAAAAACATGGAACAGAGTGGTGAAATAATGGTTGTATTTAATTCGAAAACTGCAGCACGGGGGAATTTTATCAACTAAACCGCAATTCTGTTAAATGCACAAAATATCCCTCCTCTGTTAAATTGCTGCAAAATTTGGCTAACTGTTAGCGTTCCAAGAGCATTAGAAAAAAAGGTTCTTAAACATACCTTCATTATAAGAATGACTTCTTACAAACGTGGCCATGCTTTTATAAAAGATTATGACGCAAGAAATCATGTAGTAGAATTTCATATTCCGTGTCAATTACTTCGGTCTACTTAAGGTATCAGCCACCCTTCAGGACCGTCCGCGCGCGGATCGCTGTAGCGTTAGTTGTTTTTATAAAAACCCCTATAAACCATATATTTTTTAAAAGCTTAATAATTCCAGATTATGGATTTGAACTAACAAAAACGATTTACTTAAATGTGTTTCGAAATTGGAACGTTTTGTGTAAAAGTACACTTCTCTATAAATCATGTTCCACTCCCGCCGGAAATAAACGGAAGAAAACAATTAACACCGCATTCGCTTCTCAACACGTTCCACTAAAAAACTGTGTCTCGGATTTTTGACAAGTGCGTTTGTTTTTCTTTTATTAGCAAATGAAGTTGGGAAAGGCAATTAGTCAACACTCCCCGTGGAAAAAATGCTCTAGCTTTAAAATGAAAAGGAGTATTAAAATTCGCAGACACGGTTTTGTAGAAGAGATATATGGCATCACTCTGGCCAAATTTTAGCCAAATTGACTGAAAGGCTGCCGACTTGGAGTTCAAAACGTACTAGTCGATCGGCAAAATTTGCGTTCGGAGATAAAATAGAAAATGCATTTTTGGCGGCATCCTACCTGGAATGAGATTATAACACCTAAATGTTTATTCTGATTGATATCAGAGTGGGATCAATTTTCTCTAACAATAGGACTTTGACAGGTAACATGTAACAGGAACAAACTTTCGCGGCAAGCAAGGGAACAGTTTAATTCTCCGTTGGAAAACTTCCACTCTTTTACACCACGAGAAGCACGGTTTAATTCTTTCTCGAGCAAAAGTTTTGCCTCTCCTTCGATCTTTTTCGTATGATCCGCCCAGGCGTTTTTGTCGATCGGCGCCAGGCCAAAAAACTTTGAAGCCGCCGAATATCCACCACCGATTGCTCGAAGGCCAAGAACTGAGGCCCGGTTTATTTCAAACGCTCTGCTCTTCTCGGAAGAACTAAAAACAGAATTTGTCTTGTGCGACGGACGGCTTTCATTCTCGCACTGGATTCTCCAGGTAGAACCAAGTCCATGCTTAGTCGCTACATTTTCCATGACTTGGACTCTTCCCTGGCAAAATCGACAAGCTACAGACTCGTCCAGTTTCTCAAGCAGCTTTTCGCTCGATACGATAGCTCGACCGCTTATTGTTTTCCACGTTCCATCAGCAGATGGGGTCGATGAGCTTAATTGGCTTTCTTCATCTGGCTCTTCAAGCTGGATTTTGGAGCGGCTTGCACTCTCAGCAACTGCAACATTTTCGCTTTTCTGAATATCCAACTCCTCGAGCCACTTCTCTTGCTGATAAAATGAGCCTTTGTCGCTCTCTCCCAATTTTGCGGCCCATTCTTTGTCAAACTCACTCTTCGATTTCTTTTTCGCTCTCGGTTTCGATGACGAAATTTTCTCTTTTTTTGGCGGCAAACGCTAAATATCCACGAAGAATACTAAAGGCTAACGCGAAGACAATTCGCACGTGTTGTGTCGAAGCACGCACTCGGTATCACGTTACTAGTTCACGGGCAAGTTAATTGATATATGACACGGGTATGACAGATCTTGTCAACGATCAATTGAGATAATTAACGAGAAAAAATCTTTTACCCCCGATATCTTTCGACAGAAATAATATTTTCTTCTAATTTTTTTTTTAAAAGAAAGCTCTCAAGCATATCTATTTGAAAACGTTGAAACCTCAAATACGAAAAAATGGCAATTTTAAGGGTGACTGATACCTTAACTTCAAAGGCTCTCACTCAGTGCATTTGTTACTTGAGTAAAAGTAATCTGTTCTGTCACTGTTAACAAGGAAGATGTGTAATGAAAACAGATGGCTGTGTACACTATCAATTATTCAGTAAATTGTATCATGCAGACAAGAAAACAAGATGTTATAGGTAGCCTGCGATCATAGTTGTTTGTTGGTGTGGGGAAAATGTTTCAGTCAAAGTAAGTTTTAATTAAAGAAAACATTAATTTCCATACGTGAAAAATCATCGCTGTTATGCACGCAACTTAGATGCGAAAAAGAAAGCCTGAAAAAAAATTGAATACATACGCGTCTTCAACACCTAAATTAACAACGGTGCAGAATTTCCTTTAGCGCTGCTTTTTATGCAGAAATACGTATGTTATCAATTTAGCACATAGGATGGCTGTTTTTCCCTAGCGACCGAATACATGGTCTGATTACGGGTATAGACTTTCCCATTTTGGTCTGGAATCTGGTATAGTTTTTCGAGGAAACTACGGGAGTGCATAAACATACTTGTCTTTTAAATCCCAAATGAATAAGAGCGACTGAATAGAAATATGTGAATTCGAAATGCGTTTGAAGAAATTTTTTGTTTGCGCTCTACTCTAAGTAATGATGACATAATTTCTGCCTAAAGGCAAGGTCTGAAAACGGGTATGGATTTTAGAGGTCTTGTCTGAAAACAGGTGTGGAAAATGACATTTTTTGGTCTGAAATAGGGTCAGGCACACCCCCGTCAAACCCCCCCCCTCCTCCTTTTCCGGGTTGGCTTGGGCAGTAGCGACCAGACTTTTGTCAACAATAGGTAATTTTTGCCAAGTTCCATAAACTTTCACTTTAGAAACGAGGCTACTGAGTGCAAAACCTTTCCTGTTGCACTTAGCCTCCCTTTGAAAAAGAGGCTCGGAGCAACATTGAGTCTGTGGGCGAAATCCTATGGTGCTGGTATTCAAATGAAACCTATTAAGTAGAACGTTTTCAGAGTACCATTTATTTCTTACGATTTTACAAAACGAAATTTAATTTTGGGGGGATTTTTTTTGGCCAGGCGGTTAGAAGTGAAACGGTTTATACGGCAAGTCTATCCCAAGGCCTAATGAGGAGTGAGCGTTAGGGGTGCGCAGATAATAAGAGGGATCATTGAGTTTCGGTTTGAATAGAAAGGAGAAGTCGTTACGTCACGTTGCCATGGTAGCAAAATTTTTGGATGACAACAAACCGATAAAGTCACTTAAAAGCCTATTTGCACTATTTCAAACTTCACCAATCTTATTCAATTTCATTTAATTTAATTTGGCAAATCTTGGCGAAATTTTCCTCGGGGCCGTATTTATCGTTATCTAAGTTTAGAAAAAGAAAGCGACAATTTTTTGTGTTGTGTTCACCTACTCCATAAAGCGGGCTCGTGAAATGAAGAAGTTTCATGTCGTAGTGGTGCAGCGAGGGCAAAGAAGTGTACAAAATAGCGTGATGCACGTG